CGTGTTTTGCTTACCGTAATCCATCTATTTATTTCGTGGCAAGACCAACAATTATTTTTTAATGAAAGTTTTTGATTTTTTTAAACCGAATTTGCGTTGATCAATTATTTCTTCTTTTTACGTTTACGTCTTGATCTAAAGTATTCTTAGATAAAGTTTATCTAAACTCTTTGGTTTTGAATTTCAGATGCTGGTCTTCATTCGAATTTATAACTGGGCTATTATTTTATTATTTTTTTTTCTAGAGAAGGGGACGATCCCTTCTCCCTTGCGCCCGGCCCTGACTACATGTATTACATGAGGTCAGAACTATGTCATTATAAAAATGTTGTACTATTCTAAGTTATACTAAAGTCTGGTTGACAGTAGTATTCTGCGTTTTCTAATTAAGATTTTCTTATTACAAAAACACTCGTTTTTCATCCTACTGTAAATTTAGCCGGAAAAACACTTGAATTGCAACAACTACAATTTCGTTATTTTTAATACTTTGCTTAAAATGTCAAATCGTATCTTCAAGTTAGCTTAATATATCTCGAGTTTTGCTTCAAATAGTACCTTCTAGTGTTTATCACAATTAGCCGTTTTTAGCGTGTGTAAAGTACATGGCCGTTACTTGTTGTGATTGACACAGAAAAAGTCGGTAATTTGAGCATATAGTACAACTTTTTTTTGCAGTTTCACCATGTAATCAACACGTGACATTTTGTATCAAGTCTCCTATGCTGTCATTATTGTTTCAAATGGTTGTTTTTAGAATTGTTATTAAACGCGAAAACATAAGCCACATTGTATTTGTGATGTTCCTTCAGGCCACAATTAAAATATCATGTCACTGTTGATTAATATTTAATTATGACACGTTTAAGAATATAGTTGAATTACTGTAGGATGCTTAATTGCTAAAATATCTCATGTTGTCTCAGCATGCCAATTTGAACAATACCCATCTTTTAAAAAGTACAAAATATTCGATTCACAAAACAAAAACAACTTTAAATAACAGTACTACAATTATTTTGAAACGTTACTAGAACGTTCTAACAATAAATTGTTTACCGCAAACTTGTTACAACTTTAGATCTATGAATTGACTGTTTGTATAAGATACTGGGCAGTATAATATCGAGGACTTGCACGTGCATTTCATTCTGGCTGCAGTAATTGGGTATATCACTTGTTATGATAATGTAGGGAGATGGCCCCATAACAATGCAATTTCTAAATAAGATGTATAAAGATAATATAATTTACCTCACGAGCCGGTCGGTTACGATAGTTTGTACATTGAATTATGGCATTAAGATAATGTAGCGGTTAGGTAACAGAAATCTGTAAAAATATTGTTCTAAAGATGCAAAAAGAAACGACGGGAATGTTGTGCAAGTATTCAACCATCCATTTTTAGGTCGATGGCTAACTGCGTAATAGAAATTGCGAAACATTTGAAAAAATTTTCTTTTAACTTTGATTTTTTAAGTTTTATACATACAATAGCAAAACGTGTCAGAATCACAAAACTTTTGCATTCTGTCGCAAAAAGCGCCAAAAATCAGGCAATTTTCATTTAAATTATTTGGTATTTAATGAATTTTCCAATAGACTCAACACGCAAACGATTGTCTGTTTTATATCCCTTTAAATGCTTGAGGTCAACGTTTCTTTTAATTTCTTATTTTGGTTTAATACAAATAGTTTGCGTTTTAACACTTAAGATACATCAGAGATTGAAATTTAAAATGCTTAGCCATTAACACTAACATACCTACTTTACATTCAATTTTACTATACTATAGAGGGTGGAAGTAGTTTACTAAGTAAGATGAAAAATGATAATATAAAAACAAATGTCATCATAACAATACTAGGAACGTAAATTGTTGCTCATTATGTTAATGCGCAAATAGATGTACAAAATTTGAAATTGATGACATTTAAAAGTGCCATTTGACACTAATTACTTTACATTGTCTACATCAAATTGTAACTTATTTAAATTTACATATTTTAGACAGAATTAATGTGAATGTAAATAGAAAAAGTATATAATATAAACATAGTTTTGCAGACGTATACCATATAAATATAGTTAGTTTTGGGTTCAAATTTATAAAAATACTCAAAATAATGTATGTTTGCTTAAACAAACTACCGTTACATGACATTGAAATAATAAAGTTTTTATGTAAAGAACATCTATTAAAACAGATTTCGAGATAGCATTGCGCAATAGTTTATTTGATTAATGTATTCAGTGATATTACAGTAATTTTAAAACCATAAATGTTGACAATGAATGCACTATCACGTGTCATACTCAATTGTAAACGGTAAAAAAAATTTTTATATTCTTTGAAAAATTGTAAGTTTGTTTGAATACTATATTAAAAGTGTTAGTAACTTGTTTAGGTATAAATATGTAACGTTTTTTGAGTTCTATGACACTTTTTATGCAAACTTATAAAAACATGCACTAACATAGCAAATATGTTTACTTTTAAAGAAATTCTTAATTACAAGCTTAGACAGGATGTTGTAATTACTATGTTTAAAGTTTCTTTAGTTTTAAGCCCTAGTGTTATATACCAAATTTAGACATCTAGATAGATAATGGTAGTTGTAAAGTAATTATTGTTCTTGGAAAACTGAAATTGTGTTAAGTTAGAGCAGATAGTGCAAAAAGTGCTACTAATGCTCCAGGTTGTGAGACGACTTTAAGTTATTATATTTTAATTATAAAAATACTAAGAGTTTGGTGAAAGCAAAGGAAAGTAGTCTGATTTCGCAAAACGTCGCAAAAAATCCTATTTGTTGATTTCATATATCTATGATTAACATACTACGACATGTTAGCGCCTTACCCTTTTTTATCATTGTCTTCAATATAAGCATCCTTGGCTTGTCTGCAATAAAACAGAATACAAAGAACAAAATTTACAATCAAAGTGTAGTGTAAGTATCCATTAATATTTCATGTATAACACTTCTCGGACACTGTAAACTAATTAGACATGCCATGTTCACCAAAATGCATTTCTCAACGCATAATTACTGCAATTACAACCTAACCTTATATTTATTATACTTTACACTGTTTCTGGAATATATAAGATTGTATTTCCTTTATTCGTTTGGATAAAACACCCTCACGCACATTAACATACGATTAATTAAAGGCTTTGACGCCTTTTCAAGTTACGACAGAATTATATTTTAGGTTGCTGTCAACTGCATTATACAGAAGCAAAACCAAAGTTGTTGCTTTAAAACTTTTCATCACATTTTTGTATGATTTTGATTAATTTTTTGAACAATCAAAGATTTTAATGTTAACATTTTTATATTATACTGTAAGCGCCCTGTAATGTTTTGAACACGTGCTATTGATTGAATGGAGCTTCCAACAAACTTAACTTCGATTATTATGCACTCTTCAATCTTCGTTTACTTCTTTAGTTTCAAACCTTTCATCCTGTAACGTTTTTAAGAAACGAGAAAATAATTAATAAGAAACACAAGAATACAAACCAACTTTTAATAACATCTTAATTATTTCACTGTACACCAGAGGGCGACAGTAAAAAGTTACAGTAACCTGGAGCAGTTTAACATGAGTAGCTGAAGCCCCGCCCTAGAGTTGTTTATTACTTTTTATGGGTGAAACTTGTCTGCCTGAGGGGATTGTTTCCTGAATAGGCGGTTTTTTTGGTCTCGGCCACAAAGGGGGCGTGGCGAGAGTCGTTATTTACCGGGCCGTATTTAAAGCAGACAAGTTAGTCGAGTAATTTAAAACCAAAAGAGATAGTATATGATTCTGGTACTATCCGTACTTGTTGATCTTATAGGTTGGCAAATAGTTAATTTTTATTTTACTGTGTAGTACTATGTATCTTTATAAAGATTGTGTACTAACTGTACTTTTATGTTTTAGATATAAACTACATTTTAATGTTAAGTTAATAAAACAAACACCATTTTTCTACTTTATAATCTGTGCTTGATTTCTAGTTTTGTCTTTGATTGGATTTTATTTTTTGTTTATGACTTTTGCTTTTACCGAATAGTTTTTCACTATTAATAGAGTAATCGATTACTGAATTCATTTTGAATAGTATAAATTATTGACCTTGAGACGTCCTCGTTTTAGGCGAAGTGGTCCTTTTAATTACATTTTGTCTGTTTAAAATTTTTTAAAAATTTAAATATAAAAATCAAGTTGTAGATTTGAAAGTAGTGGGTATTAAAATCATTAAAAAAATTTTATTTTTGTGAAATGTACTGTATGTTTCTATTTTTAGGTTTAATATAGTTTATCTGTTATATTTATCTTTTTCGTAAAAAGTATAAGTCGCTCCGTATTGTCTTATTCAGACCGCCCTCGGTTTAAGACCAGATTTTCTTTATCTTTTGAACCGCCCCTTTTTGCAAAGTGTTCGAACGGCTGTTTTTTCCCTAATTTCTTTGCTTTAAGGGGCGGGCAAAATTAACTTTTTGGTTTTTGTCGGTCCACCAGGAAACGAGATACCACAGTAATGCAAGTTAACTTTCCTACGTTAGGTTGAGTGACCTATCATGGTCTGCCTTTACTGAGGGTGCATTTATAAAATAATATTTTATGTATAAAAGCGTTACATTAGGTTGTCACTTTGTTTATATATTTGGTGCTTACATTTGAAATAATTTTTTGTATATTTTTAACATTTTATACTTATACGAATACAACATTTGAACATTTAGTTAGTAAGCAATTTGCAATACGTATCAGTTTCCTCTCCCGCTATTAATATTTAAATTTTATATAAACAAATTGTGAACTTCATGGTCGATGATATTTATTGTGACAATCGTTGCTTAATGTTTTTGTTCATTAACTACTGTATTTTAGAGTTCGCTGAATTTGATTTGCTCTAAAAATAAGTGCAACACAATCACCGCGTTCAGGTGACAACTGTACGGTTTAACTGGTCTCACTCTTTATCAATACACATTGCTCAGTAAACATGTTTGTGTCCAACAAAACGATACTTATGATCATTGCCTTTGTCATGGTATATCTTTCACAGTGCGTGAGGACGTCACCGACTTTCCCTGGTGCAGAAGAAGTGACGGATGAAGTACGAACCTGCAAAATTGAAGTTAAAACGGTAGGTATGCCTTTCTATCATATAATTACAGTACTTAAATATTTGCCAGCATAAGTCGAACATAACTATAAACATTACTGTAGTAAAAGTTTGGTATAACGAAACCTTTCTATAATAATTTCTAACTCATTTCCGGCTGATATGTTCTCATAATTATTCCTGGTTTCTTTGTTTATGTCAATAAAAAGCGATTAACATTTACCCCATTCTACCGCTACACTTAATCCGGCCCAAATCTATAAAACATTTAAATAGAAAAACAAAAAACTAGTTAGGCTACGATTACTGTAAGCAAGGTTGACGTCTTTCTTTCTTTGTCAAATTAGAAATTTTTACAAACACTTCCATTGTAATTATTAATGAAAACGCTAATAGGAAGTTGCAAATCTGTAGTAGACACTTTCCCATGCGGTAGCCTTTGGTTTAATTTATAGTCTTTTAAAATCACAATGGTTTCTTGTAATTGGGACCGTTCACTACACCACACTCTTGAGGGTTCTTTGATGTTAAGGCTTGTACAAACTCAGTATTATGGCACTTATAAACCATATAATCTTTGCGTTTTTTAAATTCTTTTGATAATTGATAAATTGTAGTTTGAAGTGCGAGCGTCTAATCAAATAAATTTTGTCACGTTTTAGTTACAGACATTATCTACGACCTGATCGTCTAGTCTTTACGTTTTTTAACTCGGACTCAGCTCATTTAAACGTCTGGCGCCGCTCGCGGTTTAAGAAATCGCCAAGTTTTGTCTCGACTGTTTTTGGAATTTTGCGAAAGGTCACGCGGCTGATTTAGAACATTACATCTTGATATTAAGGTTCTCAATGGATAGCAAGTCTGCGTAAACAAATCCTTATTGTTTTCGTCTGGCTAGCGGTCAAGCACAGAAGGTAAACAAGGCTAAGACAGATACTTTGATCTTCCGAATGCTACAATTTGTACGTCATTAGGCATACTGTGCCATTTTGGGTAAATATAGAACCATGTATCTATATATTAGGACACATGTATTATGCATGTAAAGCAAACAATACTGTAAGCTAATGTGCAGTTATTGTTCACTTTAAATGAGTAGGTACACAAAGACTCGCTTTCCGGAAACGTTAATTAGTAGATAATTATAGATAAGGTTTTTTTGTTATCACAACCTCTATTTTAGTTAAGATTTACACTCTTGCCCTTACAGAATGACATCAAAGAGTAGCAAAAAATGGTCTTTAAATTTTATTTTATTGAGGTTCGCGCAAACACTAAAACCGTCTAGACGGTCCCTCAAGGTTACAATGTAATGAAATGTTAACAAAACCAGTGTTTGCACATAGTACTCCAGAAGCACTTTGTGATACTTAAACTACGGTAATCACTCATGACATTTAACCAAGGAATTAGGGCATTAATAGCAAGGAATCACTAAACCCTTTATCTATGTCTGCACAATCCGAGAAACTGTGTCGCAGAACTCTAAAAATACCGAGATTAAGAAGGGTAACGGTAAAAAGTGTTCCGAGGGGCCTTCTTAGTCTGGGCCTAATTATAAGCTACGCTGATTAATCCGACGGCTCTACTCATAATGTATGCTACAAACATGGTTTTTACTTTTTGATACTTACAATACCTTGATAATACTTACATTCGGGACATTTAAAAACTTAAAAACTATTTTTATTCATTGATCAGGCTATTACCTAAGAAGCTGTCTAAGTCTTCAAGATTAACCTTAAAATTGACATTATATTGGCATATGACGCTGTGGCACGACTGATTTGTTTGACATCATAAAAACAGATTTTAATTTAGTCAAAAACATATTTTAATACTCCTAAATATTAATCTTGTCCTCTTTCAGACTGTAACCCACGAAGGCCAATGTGTCAGACTTCGAGGTCAAATACCAGCCTGTCAGTCAGACGGCTACTTGGACATTCAGTCGGATGAATGTAAATAAATCTACAGCATTGTCATCCTTTTCTAGTATCTTCCTCTTACATATCCTTTTTGTAACGGAAATATTTAGACAGTTGTTTATCACACGTGCTCGTGTGCATTAGTTGTATCATAGTACTGTAGATCATTTCCATGGTCGGTATGGTTTGAGTACGATCTTGTTGTGTATAATCCAGTTGAACGCATGGAACTTTGCTTAAACCTGCCACAGAAGAAAACATTGGTCTAGTCAAGTTTTACCTTAAGCATTGTCGTTTTTTAATTGGTAGACATCGTTGTTACTCTAGTACAAAGTTATTGTTAATAATTGTTTTTTAATGTGACATGCCGTCAAACCATAAGTTAATCTCAATATTTTTCGATTGTAAACGTGTTTTAATCAAGTCGTTTATAAGTATTTCATTTATGCAAACGGTTAAGGTTTGTTCTTCTACTTACAGTAATCAAAGCTTTTACAGTATCTAATTAATTTTTCAAAGCACGTTTTAAAATACTTTTGTTGACTAAAACTTGCCAGTATTGCATAAATAGTATTACCGGTTGCAACTTGACTGATTGAACAAACAAATCTCCATCTTCGTGTCCTTCCAAAGACATTTGTAGTCCACAATATCTATCTCTCATAGTGCTATTTATTATTTTATTGTTAATAAGCCGTGTTTTAATTTATTTGTTTTTAATCATTACAAATATTCTAGTTGTGACAGTTTATGAAGATTTTAATTATTTTTTAGCATTATTTAAAATAAATAGAGACATAAAACTGTTTTTGGAATGTGTTAACGTAATGAGAGGATGTGGTAAGCAGCTTTTGCATACTGTGCACAAATTTCATTTTTAATCAAACTAAAATTTAAATTTATATGCTTTTGATGTTATGAAGAAGGAAATACGGGTTTAAGAGTTTTGGAACGTACAAACGTTCGAATTGGTCTTTTATTCAATTTTTCCTTCAGTTGTATGTTTTTTCTATAGGAAGCCTTTGACTTTATTACGGATATTCAGTCTTTGTTTAGGTGAATAAAGGCTGCAAATTTAGTGTTTTGGACAATCATTTGATTATTTTGTGTGTGTAAAACATATCTTATTTTCTTGGTAATGGTAGGCAGTGTTTCGTTTTGTTTATCTTTTGTCAAAAACCACGGCTGTACAATGTTCTGTTAATTCAAACTTTATTTTTAAAAGTTAGGTGTAAGCAAATTTGAAGCAATTTAATTGGAATAGAATTGTATTTGAGAATTAGTATAGCCATATAATACAGTCATATAAACGTATTACTTCTATACACTTAAGATTTTACGAATATCTTCTTAAAGTGTGAGATGGAAATCTGACAATCGTTCATAAAAATAGATTTACATTATGCACGCTTACGTTTCGTATATTTTTGTTGAAATTTAGGACTCAAGGTTTCACAAATCGTTTACGTGTACAAATGCAAATAATCTATAGTTCTTCATCTGCATCGGAAAGTTTGAATTTTAAATAAGTATGTGTAACATACATATGTAATGTGATTTGATATAAATGTGTCATGCGCTTGTGTTATACGATCCCAAAATTAGTGGCCTACAGTTTCTGAATTATAAAGTAGTGTTCTACATTTTATATTCAAAGAAATTATTTTTAGTTGAATATGTTATGTTTGAAAAGGTTGAACGTGGTCCCCCCTGTGGAATTTTAAAAACAAAAATTTCGCCAAAAATCGGCACAGCTACCACCTACCACCTACCTCTACCGATTTCTTTCGACTAGAGTACAAATCAAGTAAGTGAAAAGTTTGGGCATATAGTGAGTTATAATGTTTTTCATTTTCTTGTCACAGGTTGAATAAAACATGTGCAAATTATTTTTATTTAAAATTGCTTATGAAGGTGTACTTGAAAATTGTTTTAGTCTGGACAGCATGAGAAGTTCGAACATTTTAATTGCTAACTTGGCTGTGCATTTAATATTGGGCTAAAATCAATAACTGAAGCTGTTTTTTATGCATTTACAGGTACAAATTTTTAATGAAAATCTTAAAAAAGAATTACACAGTTTTTTGTATTTACGTAGGCAGTACAAAAAATTGAAAAAAGTTTAACGTGGTCCCCCCTATAAGTTTTCAAAAAAATCGCCACAAAATCTAATGTTTGGGCTATTAACTCAATTTATTTACTGTTAAACTGATTAAAACTAACGCGCCTACTGTAACTTCCGACTGTTACGTGTATTAGATATAAGTCAAACATAAACAAGTACACTTTCACAACCCCCACAGATGTATAGTATATGTTAATCGGTATGTTTATGTCACTTTAATACACACAAACGTCTTACATAAATGTGAAGGATGACAGATGATATATGACACAAACGTGTTATAATCCTCCTGGATTTAATCAAAAACCTCTTATACGCAAATGTTTGAAAGTTTAATACCCGATTTTGGTTTAATGTGTTTTACTATCACATACTATCACTTCTGTGCAACGACTTCTGTAATTTTGGTTATTAGGTAGATGTACAGTGGTATTATTGTGCTATGGTAGTGTTATTTACTTATAATAATGTCAAACAAAAGCTTGTGGTCTAGATAATAGAGCTAAATGTGTTAAAAATGGATTTTAAATTTCTTTAAAAAATTTAAGTTTGAGTAGATAATCATACGGTACGCCAAACGGACATTTATCATCAAAAAAGTAGTAGCAATTGGCGACATTTAAAAGCAATTATTGCAGTAGGAAGCCTGATATTACTAATGACAATAAGAACACTATCAGCTCCACTTAGTCAGCCGAAACGGGTTAATCCCTTCCGGCAGTAAATCTTTTGTTTGCACAGTTTTAATCTACTCTAGTTAGTAAGGATTGTAAGTTCTACGCTCTCAGCGTAGTTGGCTACAGTATTCTCAACTATAAAAGTCGTACTACATGTTACGCAAAAATTGGTACAAAATTTTTATTTTTTAGATTTTTATTTTAGATTGTTTTAGTTAAACGGATAAAACGTTGTAACAAAACGTTACTGTATCTGAATGTAACCAAATTACACCATATACGTGTCAATAGCTCCGTAGACTTCTTATACTTTTAGAGTACTCTCAACATTTACAATTAACAAACTCCAGACGGTTTAAACCAAACCAATTATACTTATAGCTATTTATATATCTTCTAAAAAGTTTCTTATAGACACATAGAAGATCTACAGAAAAAAAAAACGGTTTTAACAGTAAGCTGAATTAACATTACCTAAAATAACAATTCGAACGTTCAAACAGCTATACAAATATATATCTAAACAACAACTTTGATTAAACTCTCAGCTGCTAAACTGTAGAACATGGCCGTCTACCTTAGTGAGCTGGCTTATAATACTCTTAATAACGTCCAGATAAACAAACAATAAGTTGCGCAATAATAAGCGTATAAAGATAATAAAAGTCTGATAACATCCAAAACATGTACTTAGCCTTACAATCAGCTTTGTAATGTGTACAAACTAAAAACAAACAACATAAAAGTTTGGAAATGTTGTTTTTCTGGCATTGTAGTCGGCTTCAAATCGTATTTATTCGCGTTATACGACTGCGATTATTCAAATTTCCACACATCACTAATGTACGTTGGCTGAGTATAATGTACATTATAAACAGGTGTACACAATCTTATCTGTAAAACAAAAAAAACTTAAAAAATTTTTTTGTAAATTATAAAATAGCAATGAGACTTAGCAAATCATAATTACAGTGGAACTCCTGTATAACGAATCGCAAGGGGATTGAAAATTTATTCGTTATACAGGAGTTTCGTATAACAGGAGTTTCGTTATCCAGGAGTCCTTGGACCCTTTAAATTAAAGTAAATTCGTTATATAGGAGTTATTAACATAAAAACAACTTTATTACTATAAAACAATGAAATTAACATTGATTTGAAATAATCTGTTATCTTCGCTTGTTTTAACTGCATTCTAAAGACATCTTCTACTGTTTTTTCAAACTTCTCATAATTCTTGGTGTCTTCAATGGTCCCATTTTGTTTGAGTTACAGTTCTAAAGTTCTCAATGACTTTTGAGCTGCAGCAGCGAATATTGTGAGTATTAAATCTTCTAAAAAAAGCTCTCCCAAATCTACACTTCCTTATTCACCTTGCATTGACTTTAGCATTATATCATGGCGTTGCTTGAACGATATGAGCCAACCATTACTTTCTTTAAAACCGTTTTCTATCACTTTTCCTTGTAAAATTATGTAAAACAATCACACAAGATCACACTTACAAGTAACATTGGTCCATACACTGGAAGGTTTCTACTCCGTTGCGTAGCACTTTTTCATCAAAGTCCTTGTCCAAAACAGAGTTGCGTTTCTTTTTTTATTATTCCGCTGTTAAAATTATATTCGATGTTGTTTCTGTTGGTCCATAAAGTCGATATTGTAGATAGAGGTAATTCAAATTCTTCAGACAAATCTTTTGTTGTCTTTCTTGATGTCTTTTCGTTGATTACCCTTATTTTAGTTTCAATCCTCAGAAACTGTCGTTTTTGCGCCATTTTTCGATCAAACTTGATAGGAAAAATTATTTTTTTGATAGAAAAACAAAATATCACAACCAAAAACACTTCTACACTATTGATTGACTGAAAAAACACGGTCAAAAAATAAATAAAAAATATTTTGAACACAATTCGTTATACAGGACCTGCGATTTACACTGTAGGGACCGCGAAAATCAATTCGTTTTACAGGAGTTTCCTGTATAACGAATTCGTTATACAGGAGTTTTTTGTCAGTGCAAATGCACTGAGCTTCGGCCGGGGATTTAAAAGTTGTTCGTTATACAGGATTTTCGTTATAGAGGAGTTCGTTATACAGGAGTTCCACTGTAATAAATGTAGTAAAATTTGTTTAAAAGTGCTTTATGACTTCCTCATTCAAACCGGTTTGGTGCACTCACTTTTGCAATCGGATTTGATTACGACAAATACTTAAGCATGAGTCGCATTAACAGTGC